CTGGCCACTAGCTCTTCCCCTGTTTCTGTCCTTCCGGGCATTTTGGTCAGCAGAGCTGGATGCTCTGATGCTGTTTCATTTAAAATACATGAGCCTGCTTCATCTGCCTCCTTCTGCCAGTGCTTCACTTAGGCTTTGGCACAGGAGTGCCTTGGGATTTAAATGGGTTTGAGATGTCCCTATTAACTCTTATTTCTTCCTGAGTTTATCAGGCGCTTACAATTTATTTGCCTATGTTGTAACATGGCTGTTACAGTAGAGGTCCCAAATTTTAGTGGTTTTTTTTTTAGTAACACCAATAGGGAGGAGGGTTCTGCGTAAATAGTTGCATCAAACCCAACATACTGTTTGTCTGAAGCAAAAATCAAAGGTAGGTAATGTTCTTTTCACCTCCCTTCTGTTTCCTTTCTCTCCCTTCCAAATTCCCTGCATTATTGCAACTTGAATTCTGACGTAAGAGTATAGCATGGATGAATGATCATATAAAATGTTTCACAAAGCTAATTCAACTTATCCTCTAAATTGAGTTGTTACCCTTTGCTGGTCTGGACAGTAGATGTGGAGTAATGCAAATCTTGATTGCTCCAGAAATTTCAGTGCTGCCTTGAAGAGGGGATGCCTTTCCAGGCCAGAGAAGTGTGCCTGTGCTCATTCAATGATACTTTGTGTGCAGCTGAGAGAACTGAGGTTACTTCTCAGCTGTTCATGAGCCCTCCTATCTAGCATGGTGTATTCCATCTGACCTTCCTGTGGAGCTTACCTTGAAGCTGATGTGCTTCCACTGGATGTCACTGTTGCTCTTCAGGAACACATTTAAAGTATTTTACCTGTGGTGAAAATGACTCCTCAAAATAGACTTTTAAAGGTGTTTCTCTTTTCTTTGGATGAGTAGAATTGGGGTCCAGATGAAGTACATACACCACCTTAGAGGGTTTTCTGCTGCTCTGTTTCTAGGGGATTTTTTTCAGCTAAGATAATGAATTTGATTGTACTAGGGAATTTTAATACATTGAAGGTCTGTGTTGAACACATTGGATGTATGTGTTGTTTAAGCGGTGTGCTGTCTTTCTAGATATTTGAAAATTAATTCTTGGCAACATCATACTGTTTTTTTAAAAAAAAAAAACTACCAAAACACAAAATCCCCAAAAGAGTAAATACTCTGTGTTAATTAATTGAAAGGGACTTAAAGGTAGAGCCAAACCTACCCCCTTCACACCACTCAATTCTTCCCTTCCAGTGGAGAGAGGTGAGGAAAAGGGAAAAGAAATATTTCCTCTGGGCTTCATTGTAAGAATCCTACATTTTATTAGTAGGTTTAAAACTGAAGTAGGTGGTTATTGTATCAATATGTCTTCTAAGGATCAGAAGGACACCATTTAAGAAGCAAAATGGTATTTTTCAGTTGCCTCATGCAGTTTGCTACATGTGTTGTTTAGCTCATACCTGCCCCCCCAACCCCTGTAATTGCTGGCCAGGATGCTGTTTAGCCAGAACAATTTTCATAAGAGGCTCAGTAAGAGACCTCTGGAATGAAGGCTGATTAATTTTCCCCTTCCCCCAAGTGGTTGCCTTGTGCTGTCTTTAAGTGGTTGCTATAAATAAATCACTTTTGTTTTCCCTTTGTCACTGAGAGCTGTATTGTATTCTGAAACTGCTCATCTCTTCTTCCTTTAATGTTCAGCTGCTCCTTGCTCTACTCCCAGTGTTTAATATGCAGATGTTGTAATAAGATATTTAATGGCAAAGACTTTTGTTTGGTTGTACCAAATAAATTGCACCCTTGAACTCTGACTGAAATGAACTAAACTTCTGCAGCAGTGCCATAGTTTCTGGTCCCCAGGATTCAGCTGGCACTTTGCCCACAGGTGAATCAGATGGGAACACAGGTGTCTCTGCCTGTAGTCGTGATGGTCATTGGTACTGAGACTGACACAATTTTGAATTTTTGCAATGATTTTCTAAAATCTGTTAGAATTTAAATTCCTAATGGCTGGCTCAGATGATATAAAATGTCATTAGAAGGGTTCCTGGAGTCTGTCTAAGGCTTCTTAGGTTTCTAAGGGTTTTTTGGTTCATTCTTGGGAACAGCAGCTGATTTAGTCTGCATTTACGAAATTTGAAAATGTTCCAGTCTGGAGGCAGTTTGGTTCCTCCTCAGCTGGGTGCATACTTCCTAGAACCGAATAGTCAAACACCTTTGTCAGTTGGAAGCCTCCTTTTTGGAAGTCACTGCTGTGACCCACTGTCACAGTGTTTATTTGCTGGCTGCTGTGTCCCTGGTTGAGACAGAGAGCTCAGAACCTCATTGCTGAAGGCTGTAGCTTGTGGGATATTTTGATGATGGGCAGTAAGGAGCCTTTCAAGCAGCTGTGGTGTTTGAAATGGGACAGTATGCCATGTTGTCATGTTCTTGGTTTCAAATGTTCTTGGGGCTGTTGCCTTCAGGAGCCCCATGGCCTTATAATGGAGGTGGCTTTTTGTGGGGGTGGTATGTAGCCTGTGAGGTGAGCAGCAGAATGTGGCATCTGACAGCTCTGGTTTCAACTTGACATGATGAGGGACCACCTGACCCCTAAAGCATCAATGTAAGAAGGTATCTGCAGTACTGCCTTTGCCAGACTCTTAAACTTTGTGAACTGTAGCAAAGAGAATATAGACTCAGAGTTCAACCCTGAAGCTTTTTATGAAAAGCTGTCTGACATACGCTATAAAGATAGATGGAGAAAATCTGTTGGTACAGTCATTTTTCTCCTCTGTGAGTCAGCTTGTTCTAATGGGTTTTGAAGAGGATAGCTCATCATCATTTGGGGTTTTTAAGTGCAGGTTGTATGTAGTGTTAGCTCACTAAAATTTCTGCTGTGCCTTGATTGACTGGCCTGAAGTTACATCATCAGCATAAGCTAGTTAGCTTTAAAATAGAAAGAAAATGTTTTTTGATGCTAGTTACCCATTGAAAAGCAGTGGTTTGTGGTTTTTGTTTGTTTTCACTTTTTTTTAAGCAGCAAATAGCAGGTTTTTAAGACTGGATTGATCTCATCTCTGCAAGAATACATTTTAGTTGATTAAATCAATGCATTGGTGAGCAGTGTGTGGCTCTCAGGCTTCCTGCATTACAGGAGTAGCTGGAGTGTGGCTCCCATATCGAGGCAGTGCTTTGTGACCTGGAGTGTGGGCTGTGTTGGCCAGGGGCCTGTAGATAATCCAAATTATTCAAGCAGGTGGGAGGAAGGAAATTAGCAGAGGCTGGTGTGGCTGGTACCACCTGATACCACTGCTGCATCCCAGGCCTGTGGTGGAGCACAGGGATCCCTGTGGAGCAGCTGTCATTTAAACCTTCCCCTTCTCTCCTGCTCCTTAGGCAGAACTGGCCATGTGAGGCTGGGCTATAGGAGGATGGTTTGGTGGGCAGGGGCTGGAAGAATGGTCAGCTCCTACTAGCAATTGGTGGCCAGCAGCAAGGCAGTCTCTTGTCAAAGCTGCTACTGCTGCAGCCTCTTGCATCTTTTTCTCTTGCTCACCCCCTCTAGTCTCCACCTTCCCTAGGTACTCACACTGCTGCTTCTTGTACTACTTATTGCATATTCTGCCTGTGTCTTGAGCTGGATCTCAGCCTTGGAAGCCTTTCTGTGGCCTCAGTCAGTGGCTCCCAGCAGCACAAGGGTTTTTAAAATAGATAAATTTTTTGTATGCATGTATGTATCCTCGTCATGTACTGAACAGTTTGGTGGTTAAAGTTATGTGAGCTGGTCTTGTTTCAGTTTATTTGCACATCTGCACACATCTGGCATCAAACACAGAGAGGAGCAGGTAAGTCAGTACTGTGCTGGTGAGAAATGCATTCCTGCTGTTGCATAGGAGAGAGGAGACAGAGGCAAATCTTCATTTCTACTTAGAAAAAGTACATGTGGAAGTACTTTTGGAGACTATTTTCAATCTGTCAGAATTCCTTGCTGCTTTGCTGATTTGTAAACTTTGTGTGAGTAATAAGTGCATGGGATGGAGCTGCACCAGGCATTGGGCCATGGAGAAGTGCGTTTTGAGAGCTGTGATCTTGGCTTTCAGTTCAAATTTTGTCCATTAGTGTAAATTGAGAAACTGAAGTCTGCAGTTGCTTAACCAGTTGGCTACCTCCTTTAGTTAAACTTCTCTGAACTGCTTCTACTGGCAATAAGGCAGATAAACAATGCAAATGGTGTTTGTTCTACAAGAAAGATACCATTTTGAAAGAAAAGGAAGGAAGAATAGATTCTTTAGTAGAGATCTATTTGTGTTTTTCAAACTTAATTTATTCTGAATGAAATATTCAAGCTTGCGTAACTAAAACAGTTGAAACTTCAAAGTAAACTTGTTCGTAATCTCGTTGAGGAAGAAAACCAGTTCAAGAGATAAACAAAATTAAAATTACTAAATCAAAACAGTTCCAGTGCATATTGGGACATCTTGCTTCTGCTGAACTTAACTATGGTACAATGTCTTTGCCTTATTTCAAATTCCAAACATGGAGAGAGGCTTTAACTTTACTGTTGGAGTGAAATAATCAGACTCCTCTAGGTAGCTTACTTAATTCCTGTCATTGGGATGTAGTGCTTCCCTAAGTAGCTCCAGTAAGTCTTCACTTACCTGTAGTCTGTGCCTGTGTACCACAAGAACACACCAAAGGTCTTTGCACATAGAAAAGCTTGAACCTTGCAGGACTGCTGCAAGATTTTTATCTTAAGGTTTGCCTTTCCTGGTGGTGGTTTAAAAACAAACAAAAGCACACACAAAAACTCCCCAGAAAACAACAAAACCACCCTCCACCTGGAGCAGGCAGACAAGTCAGCAGAAGCTTTTCCTTTTCCAGCTGTGGCAAGAACAATTCCTTTCCTCCTTTGCTGTTTGAATAGCATAGACTGTCCCAGCATAAACTGTCCTTTACTGTTTACCCTCCGTGGAACAGAAATCCCTGTGCAGTTTGCATTGCAATAGCAGATTATGTCTGTTTGTTTTTCTTGCAGTCAGAAATGGATTGTAGCATTCATCATAAGAAAACAAAAACTCGAGATTCTTGTAGGACCCATGAGCAGCAAGAGGAGGAGACCAGTCTTGCAAATACCTTGGAGCATATTATGGGACAGCTGGATGTTCTGACTCAGGTATGATTTGCTTTTTAATTTGTTGTTGACAAAGGTAGCTGTGACTGGAAGAATTGGAAATATTTTGCAATAGTTTCATAGAACAATAATATAGCTAGTTCAAAACTTCTGCTTTTTAGTAGTGTTTTGATAAGTCTTTCATCATTTGCTTCTTATCTCTATCAGTTCTCTTGCACTGACTTCCACCTTAGGCCCTGCTCTTCCCCAGTTTCTTTATGCTGCAGCGCGGCAGATGCTGCTGGAGCCAGCTCTGATAGACTGTGCTGTTAGCCAGGGTTTATCCAAGGTGATGCCTAGAGGAGGGGTTGGCAGAACAACTGTGTTTTGGTGAATAATCTCTGTCTCTCTTCCCTCCTCCGTTATACCACAGCCTATAGGTGAACTCTGTTCAGATCCTGCTCCTTCCCCCCACCCAGCATTCACCTACACAGTCCAATTTCTGCAGAATCCTCCTCCCATCAACAAGTCTGGGCCCTTCTGTGCTTCATTGCTGGAACATGCTTTTCACCCACAGCTACAAACAACTAATCCCTTGCTAAAACATTAACAAACAGTTCTTTCTTGGAGTCACTAAGCAATGCTTGAACAGAACCAGCCATGAATGGTGATCATCACAGAATGTGTTTACTTCATAAGAATTTGGGAATAGAAGTGTTTTTTGATTAACTAAATAACTGCTCATTGTGGAGAAATACTGTTTCTGGATGTCTGGACCTGAATTTCATTGTGGTTTTTTGAGGTATGTGAGAAGCAGGGAGAAAGCATGGAACTGTAAACATTGGAGATCTCCTGTAGCTGAGACCATGGTGGTAGGATGGAAAAATGGAGGGTTTTTCTGTGAGTTTAAGCATTGTTTCTAAGGAAGAACAAGTAGGTCTTAAACACTTGGCACTGAACATACTGATTAGTAGTCTGAGTTAGCTCTCTGCTCTTGAGAGAGTTAACTTGTCAAGCTACTTGTCAAAGAGTGTAAGATGATGGGTTGGAGGGCCCATCAGGAGATTGAAAACTGATTTAGAGATTAAAAAACATGCCACAACTACAGGCAGTCTAAAATAGTGTAGGATGAAACCCAAAAGGTATTTAAGTTCACTTGGCAGAAATGCAAAAAAGCACTTTTGCTGTGATCTTTAAAACACTGAGCACTGGAGGAGGGGAGGGAAATCTTGTGTGACACTGGGCCCTCATACTTGTGATTAAAAGCAACCCGGTGTATACACAAAATATTTTAATACTATTTTTATGTCTCCCTAGTAAGCTTGGAATGTGATTGTTATCTTTCATTACATAAATCACATCCACATTTCTGATGATGGATGTGTAATGGCTCCTTTTCAACTTCATAGGTGTTTAGAGAAGGCAAATATTGCAGTAAACAGTACGTGTGGGATTTAACCTAAATATAAGCAATGCAAATATCTCTGTTGAAGATATTGTGTAACTGTAGAAAATTCTAAATGTTGTTTTAAACCTAGCAGAAAGAGAAATTGAGATCAGTGGGGGAGGAATAAATTAGTACGTTATAGGATAAAATTGGAAATAGCCCTGAAATAGTAAAAAACCAAAAAGCTACCTCGAGTAACTGTGTTCTTCAACCTTTTACCTTTCTTGTAGCATTTTTACCATCTTTGAGGTACTTCATTTCCCATTGGTTCTACTCTGGGTATGCTGTATTAACACCATTTTAATGCTTTTGTACAGATGTCCCTGACATGCCGTTCTCATGCCAAGGTTTTGGTATTTAGCAGCGACACAAACCGACACCAAACAAACTTTATCAAATGAGCCTGGAAGAATTCCTCATTCCTGGACTAAGGCAGAAGGCATCTCAGAGAAGAGGGATGTGGGCAGGTAGCAAGGCAGGTGTGGAGGGTGTTGATTTCCGTGTCTGAACTTTGGCTTTTCCAACTTTGGCTGTTGGGAGAAGGGAATACAGCTCTGGAATGCGGCTCCAGCAGAGCCACTGTTACCCCTCTTCCATGCAATGGCTGCGCTCTTGTAGGAGCTGTGGTGTGTGGAGATCCAAGGGAACTAGAAGTGCCTGGTGCTGTGGACACTTAACAGGTGTCATTATTTTCTGTTCTTGGAGAAGGGCTGAAGATGCTTCTAGTGCTCTGTTGAAATCATAATTCCCGAGTATTGTGTGTTTAAAGAGAATTCTAAGGGCATAAGCAGGGCCATCCAGCTGAAGGGAAAAAACATATGACATTTCCAGAAACCCTCTATTGATATATCCATCCATGGGCTTTTCAGGAATTTAATCTGTTAGCTCCACAGGAGCTTGGATTAATTTCTGATGTGGTATCTTGAGTTCCTGGGTTCATTGTTCTTATTGTAGATGCAACACTGTGTTACCATCATGTAAAGTACCGGTGGGGGAAGGTTAAAGTTGTGATAAACTACTTTGGGAAATTATGCAGATCTAAGCCAAATTTATTTTCCTAATATTTTTTCTGTAGCTGTCATTTCAAGGTTTAAACCTGGTATCATGTAGAAGTGGGAAGGAGAGAAAATACTTCCAATTTCTGCTGAAAGAGGTGATAGTGAGACATCAGCTGTAGGCTGTCATCTCTTGCCAGCACACAGCTTTGTTCTGAGCTGCACACTTGAAGCTGCATCACCAGTGATTAGTACCTTCCTTCTGCTGGCAGTAGATTTCCAGATGAAATGAGGTGTCATGTGCTTGAATTCAGTGAGATTGTTTTTATTCAATTCAGAGGTCTCTTCCAGCCAGTCACCAATCACTGAGGCTGTGGAGGTGTTGTGCCCCACACAGGAGGATACAGCAGAGCAGACTTGCTCCTTCAGCTGGGCACTTCAGTTCTTACCAGAGAGAGATGGATTAAAAGAATCCAGTGGCTGTTGTGTATCACAACTAGCAGTAATCACAAGAGTGAATAGAAGCTTGGCTAAGCTTCATTCTTGTGTTGTTGATATGATTCAATTCTTTAAAGTTTTGGCAACTTTCTTTCAACTGGTCTTTGATTCAATGAAACCCTTTTTTCCCTCCTCTGCTCCAAAGCTGTGTCAGGATATCTTTTACTTGTAAGAAAGTGGTCTAATGTGAGCTGACAGGATCTTCATATTTTTCCTAAAAGCAGTTTGTGTTTGGCCTTACATGGGTCTTTTTCAGAAGAGTAGCATATGCTTAATAATTCTGCTGCCTTGAAGAGTGAAGTTGAGACCTGGGCATAAGCCAGTTGTTCCCAGTAGTTTTGGATTACTTAGCTACCCTAGTTCCCCTCTGTAGGAAAATAAGCAATTCACATCTGGCAAAGGAATGAAGGAGATGAGAGTAATAAATGTACAATACTGATGCTTTGCTCCTCCCTTTCCTGCAGCTTATTCTCTTGTCAGTGTCTCAGTGTTTAAAAGTCCTCTACTGGCATTTCAGAGACGTGAAAAGGATGAAAATGCGAACTGTTTATGAATTTATTCGTTTTTACTGAAGAATGGATCTCAGTATCTCAGTGCCTATATGAAGAGCTGCGGTGAATATTGAAGTTTAAGGGGAAAACAAGGTGATTTTCTCTCCTGGGTAGCCAGGCACAGAAAGGTGTTTTGGCTGAAACAAAAATGTAGCAGATATCAAAGATTTGCTTGGTTCAGGTGCATTTCTTGTGTTTACAGCTGAGCTGCTCTTCTGAAAAGATCATCTGTGAGTAGCTGTCTTGGCTGCAGTGGAAAACTTGTATTTGCAGTGGTCATCTTGGGTTTAATGTACTCTCATCCTCACTCAAACACCTCCAGCTGCTGTGTTTGCTCTGTCTCTGGGCAGCAGGCACTGAGGCAAAAGCTGCTGGCTTTATGTGGGAAGGAAGATGTCTTCTGCAAATGAAGAGTTCAGGATCAGGTTAGCATAAAAATTCATAAATAGCTGTGATAATCCACCCACAGGAAATGGCTTTGTATGCTTCCCAAACTAATCTTGCATTGAAGCTGGGAGAAAACAACACAGTGAAATGGAGAGGACTTGATAAATCTGTAAAATAACCCAAAGCCTGAATTGAAGGACAATCTAGCTCATGTGAGATTAAAGGATTATTTCACTCCAGAAAACATTGCAGGCAGAAAAAGAATTTTTGTAAATTATTTTTTTAGCATAAAAAAAACTTGGACACAAGTGAGTTGCTTTTTTAATTAAAGCTGAAAATGTTTGTGTGTCCAGTGCTTAGTAATAAAAACGAGTAAAATCCAATTTTTATTCCTTTTTTGAGATGCAGTCTCAAGCCTGTGTTGGTGAGGGATGAATGTGGCCTCTCTTTTGAGAGGTACTGAATGTAAATTAAGCAACTGGTTTAGTAAAATATATGCTTTTATGACTTCAAGTAGTTACAAGTCAAGAAAAAATACTTGGCAGTGGCAGGGGGATCATGTCCCAAGTGCTTCTACCTTTGCTGTGCACAAGTATCTTGGTTTCTGTGTTGCTCTCAAGACCTGAAGACCGATGGACCAAATATGGGAGAAAAACTGCAAGTAATTTTTATTCCAAGAGAAATTGTTTGAAATCTGAAACACTAATAAAAAAGATCTCATCTGAAAATCTGTGGAGTGTCAGATGAGTTTGGTTTTTAAGTCTGAATTTAAAGGACATAGAGGCTATTTCTTGTGAGTCAGACCCATCTCTTAGAGATTCAGTAGCTTTGATCTCTCACTCAAATTAAGTACCCTGGTTGTTGCCAGTCCTCTGTGTCATTGAGCAGTGCTACTTTCCCCCCCACTCCCCATGAAATTTACTTCCAAAATATTTGATGCAAATACATTTTTCTCCTAAGATTGCTTAAATTAAATGCACTCTGAGGGATATTGCTGTGTTAGCAGGACACTGTGTGAAGGCTGGCTCTCCAGAAGTGCTGATCCTCCCCCTGGATGCTCACAGGACCTTCACCTTCCATTTTCCTTCAATGGGAAGGAATACTAAACAACTCCCACAATTTGTTTTCACAAGCAGACTTTGAAGATTAATATAAATTGTTATTCAGCTATTGGATACCAGCAGC